TTTTTAGAGTGTATATATATATATATATATATATACACACACACACATTTTGTTATAACTTTTACAGTGTATATATATATATATATATATATATACTAATTCAAATTTACAGTCTATATATATTTATATATATACACACACACACACACACTGTAAAATTTAAATTTTTAAGATTATTATATATTTATAATTATATATATTTTATATAAGTATAGTATATATATTTTATAATTTCGTCTCCAGATGATTCATAAAGTGTAAAACTCTCTTCTCAGATACACTGCAGAATGAATCCATGACATGGCAAAAAACAGGCTAATTAATGTAGAAACTTAGGTCTTAACACTGGTTTAACATTATTTTAATTATATTATGGTGCAATGATGAAATAACGGAAGCCATTACACTGCGTTATGAAGAAAATCAAGGCTTTTTAGGGGTCGTTGTTGTAAGCGTGAATAAAACAAGTGAGTAAAATGCCAAAGCTGAATCAGGTCCAGCATGGCTCGGCTTAAATATCCACGCATCAGTCCTTTCTTGGCTTGCACACACAGCTGACCAACTGTGTACCACCCGCACACACCGCGCGGATCAGCCGCTGATCACGCAGCGACGAGCGCTCCTGATTGGCTGACGCTCCGCACACCTTTGTCGATGATTGGCTGGAGGCGAAAGCACGACCTCCACGGCCCGGCTCGGTTTTCTGAAATATGTGAATGAATCGAAGTTCCAGAAACAGTGACAGTATTGATCATAATGAGACTTCAGTCAGTTCAGTCAGAGTAATAAACGAGAGGAATGCAATGCAGCATCAGTATGACATCCATATCTAAAAGTGTAAGTAAAACCATCTGCATTTATACATTTAAGACTGTATTTTAATTTTATATGCTAGTGCTATTAATAAAAAATAATCTGTTTTTCATATTATTTTATATTAATTTCATGTTTAATTTCCCGAAGTGCAGATATAATGCATTATTTTTCCTATTATATTTATTTAATATGTTTATAAACCGCTGATTTTGAATAATACTGGTCAAAACTATTAAACAAACATTACATAATGATGACCATAATCATACTGATACATAATTGATGTACAAAGGAATCAATTGATTGAAATGATGCATTTTTTTCTTTTTTAAAGTATTGAAAATAAAACTATTATTATTGCTATATTATAATTTGCATATTATATACCTGCTATATACAAATATTATTATTACATTTGTTAGTTATGCAAATTGGCAATTAGTAACATAATCCATTACATTACACATTTTAGGTAATGTAACCTGACTACTTTTTGATTACTTGTTTATTATATTGTTTTAAATAGGATAATCTTGTACCATATTCATATAAAAATAAAAGAGAAAGAAAATATATTCCATATAGTTGTTGTTAACAACATGAAGTGCATTAAACATTACATTACTGTACATCAAGGTTTCCTAAACTGGGGTTTGTGAAGGAACTGCAGGGGCTTCGTGAGTTTAATGTAAAGCAAAGTATAAATTAAATCATAAAAAATGTAAATGTAAATCATAAAAATATAAATTTTTTCTTAAATGTATTTAATTTCCTTTTCTCACATCTAGCAGCCTGATTCAGACTGGAGATATTCAGAAGCTGTGGAGGCCCTGATGTCTATGAAGATCCAGCAGAGGGAGTTTTGGCCCTTGACTCCTTCCTCTGATGCCTGTGAAGATCCCGTCACTGCGGATTTTCACCAGTCCACCTTTGTGAGTGAGACGGGACACAAAGGTGAATCTCACAAACAGATCCAGGTCATGTGTTTTTTTTTTTTTAAAGCATATATACCCCCATAATTCTCAATACTATAACACAAATGCAAATCTCATTATTGTAATGTAAAAACAAATTATATACTATTTAAACTGTAAGGTATTTATGCATGTTTTTGTACTGCATTTAATTTAAGGCAAGACATTTGCCAACATTTTATTCCTAAAAACCTGGTGAAAATGTATATATATATATATGATGATTGATGATTAGAGCTTACAGCTCATGTAAGTCAAAAATCCAGTATCTCAAAATATTAGAATATTTATATTTGAGTTTCATTAAATGATCATCCCTACAGTATAAATTCCGGGTATCTCTTGTTCTTTGAAACCACAATAATGGGGAAGACTGCTGACTTGGCAATGGTCCAGAAGACGATCACTGACATCCTCCACAAAGCCAGCCAACATGCTTGACCTGAAGCCCATAATATGGAACTTGAACTTTCTGTTTTGCAAATCCTTTTTTTGACTGATCTTAGGAAATATTCTAATATTTTGAGATACTGGATGTTTGACTTTCATGAGCTGTAAGCTCTAATCATCAAAATTAAAAACAAAAAAAACTTTTGAAATGTTTTACTTTACATGTAATGAATCTAGAATATATGAACGTTTCACTTTTTGAAATAAGTAAAAAAAAAATGAACTTTTTCGTGATATTCTTATTTTTGTTTAGATGCACCTATATATATATATATATATGATTTTTTTCTGCCTGTTAGTATTTTCTGTGATATTTAAAAACACGTCAACTCTAATTTGTCAACAAAATCAAACAAGAATTTTGATCCTGACTTTATCCAAAATTGTAATACTTTTTATAAAACTGCCTTGATTTTTAGAAAAGTATTGAACATTAAACAGGGTTATTATAGTAACTACAACTAAAACATTGTTACTTAAAATAAAATAAAACAAAATAAACCTGGACGTAAAAATAAACATCTGATCTAATTCACTAAAATAACTAAAACTGAAAAAAGAATAAAATCTATTTAGACATATTATAGACATTATAAATAGACATAAATAAAACTAAAGTGAAAACAAAATATAAAAATAAAAACTTATTCAAAATAACAAAAACTATAACAATATCCAAGTGATTAAATGACACTGATAAATATTCAGATTTATGTTCTGGAAATGTTTGCAAATTACAGCATATTTAATTAGATGCCTCATTAATGATTTAATGCCTCATTTGCATATTTAAACATTTCAGAACACTTGTGATACAAAACAGTTGTCTTAATGTACTGTCAACTAGATGAAGTAAGTTTATTTTAATATATAATGGTTTTCATTAACTACAAGAACCCAGTCACTAGAATAAAGAAATGACTTTTACTGTACCTTCAGTATATATAAGATTCTTAAATCAAGATGCATTTACTTAAGCAAAATGACATAAGTCTTGTTTTCTGAAAAAGTGAACAAAATAAAGTCAGTTTGTGATTAAAACAAAAACTAATATCTGCCAAAAGGCTCAGAAAAATCAACTTAATACAAAGGGAAACCATTTTTATTCCCCACAGAGATATATCTGTTCTTGTTTTGGGCATAAATTCACTTCGTTTTGGCTTTATTTGTTCATTTTTCGTTTCAAGTAAATATATCTTGATTTAAGGATGTTTAGATATTTTGAACACAAAACCCAAACACTTAGGGGCTGATATTCATATTTTTGCAGAGCATGCAACATTTAATGCCATGACTTTACGAATGTAAGACTTTCTGCTCTGAATTAAGGCCTTATCTTGTGGAAGAGCGAATTAAGACTTTTTAATAAATGCAGAAACTCTGTAAAATGAAACCTCACACCAAAGTTTGGTTTTCCATTTGCTCTGACCAGGTGAGAAGCCGTTCAGGTGCTGCTGGGACGGCTGCTTGCGGCGTTTTGCCAGATCTGATGAACTGTCTCGTCATCGCCGCACGCACACAGGAGAGAAGCGTTTCTCCTGCCCCGTTTGCCACAGCCGCTTTGTGCGCAGCGACCACCTGACAAAACACACACGCCGCCATCTAACAGCCAGGAGAACGGCAGTGTGGCAGAAGGAGGTTTACCGTCTGAACAGCATCAGTGCTGTCTGTCACCTGCAGCCTCTGGCACCTAAAACTCAGAGCTGACAGAGAGTCATCACACCTGTACTCGTTTCACTGTTTATATATATACACTACTGCTCCAACGTTTGGAATCATTAGGATTTTTTAATGTTTTTGAAATGAGTCTTTTCTGCTCACCAAGGCTGCATTTATTTCATAAAAAATACAGTAAAATCAGTAATATTGTGAAATATTATTATAATTTTAAATAGCTGTTTTCTATGTGAATATATTGTAAAATGTAATTTATTTCTGTGACGCAAATCTGAATTTCCAGCATCATTACTCCAGTCTTCAGTGTCACATGATCCTTCAGAAATCATTCTAATATGCTGATTTGCTGCTCAAGAAACATTTGATTATTATCAAACTATGTATGGAAACTGATACATTTTATTTTTCAGGATTCTCTGATGAACAAAGTTCAAAAGGACAGCATTTATTTGAAAGAAATATTTCAGATCTTTAGGATCATGTGACACTAAAGACTGGAGTAATAAATCAATTACATTTTACAATATATTCACATAGAAAACAGTTATTTTAAATTGTAATAATATTTCACAATATTACTTCACAAATCATTCTAATATGCGGGTTTGCTGCTCAAGAAACATTTCTTATTATCAGTGTTATCTTAGTAAATGTTGAAATTAACTAATATACAGTGCCGTGAAAAGGTTTTTGCCCCCTTCCTGTTTTTTAAATTTTTTGCATATTTGTCACACGTAAAAGATTCAGATAATCAAACCAATTTGGGTGGCACAACCAGTTATTATATTTAGGGGGCAATTACTTTTTCACGTAGTGCCAGGCAGGTTTGGACAGCTTTTTTCCCTTAATAAATGAAATCATAATTTAATGCATGCAATTTGTATTTACTCAGGCTATCTTTGTGTAATATTAAAATTTGTTTGATGATCTGAATCTTTTAAGTGTGACAAATATGCAAACAATAAAAAAAACAGGAAGGGGGCAAAAACTTTTTCACACCACTGTGTATATATATAAAGTTTTTTTTGTTAGTATCTAAATGGACTGACATCAGATTGGACTTTTTTGCATATATAAATAAACAAGCCTTTTTTAAACATCACTTTTTTTTTCATTTTCATTACTATGAAAAAAATATGGGCTTTAGATTCAGTAACCAATTCTAAACCAAAACCAATCAAGAAATTAGTTTCTAGCTGTTTGCTCACTCATGTTTAATTGTGAACTCTCACAGTAAAGGCAATGCTGTACCAGACACTAAAATGCAAAATGAATCCACAAGGCCATTAATACCATTTTATTGACAGCAAAACTTTGTCAAGAAAAGGTAAATGCTGTAAACGGCAAACAGTCCATAGTTTATGCTCTGACACTGAACAAACATTTCATTTGTCTAATTCCCGTTCAGTGTTGCACAGTTCATTGCTTTCACTTGCCTGGATCTTGCAGGTAAAGAGCAACATAACAGCTTCCTCTCACTTCAACCAGCAGCACTTGCTCCAACCGTCTTCAACACATTCTCAGACATACTTACACAATACCAGAGACATCCTGGACAGAACACATGTGTAATGCTGAGATAATGCACAGCACGACACTAATAGACTACTGCTTAGAAAAGGCCTGAAACAAACAAATAACAAAGTATGTGAAAGCAGACACTTCCCAATTTTGTGCAATACTGCATTACAAAATGCAGCCACACATGTCTTTTCATTTAAATGCAAGAACTTGCTTGTCACGGCAATGCAAGCATGTACAAATATGTACAACTAGACCAGACGCTTGCACTTTGTGTCTGCATTTGCATACTTACAAAGGAATAGTTCAAAAGCATTCCATCACTTGCTCAGCAATGGATGCTCTGCAGTGAATGGGTGCCGTCAGAATGAGAGTCCAAACAGCTGATAAAAACATCACAATAATCCACACATCTCCAGCTCAGCATTAAAGGGATAGTTCACCCAAAAATGAAAATTTGATGTTTATCTGCTTACCCCCAGGGCATTCAAGATGTAGTTGACTTTGTTTCTTCAGTAGAACACAAATTATGATTTTTAAGTCCAGCCGTTGCAGTCTATCAGTTGTATAATGCATGGCAATGGTAACAAAATCTATGAGAGTAAAAAAAAACATGCACAGACAAATCCAAATTAAACCCTGCGGCTCGTGACGACACATTGATGTCCTAAGACACGAAACGATCGGTTTGTGCAAGAAACCAAACAGTATTTATATAATTTTTTAC